CACGTGAGTGGTGCCACAGAACGCAAGAGAAGGGCATAATGAAATTATAAAGAACAGGGCAGAAAGGCAATCAATCAGTTCGGGGGCAAGTGACAGGACGGTCTGCTGTACGTGGGAAAGGGGCGCCGTGCAATGAACTGGGGTTAGAGACATGCGCACCAGACACCCTCAGAGGCCTGAGAGACGGGGAGAGTCTTTTTTCAGGCCTGACAAGCATGACAAGAAGCTTGAGAAAGACAGTCTTGGACCGTCAGGGTCCTATGAATTTATAAACTGCTTGGTGACCAAAACCATAATCTTTTTAATGTTAACTGTAAAATGCCTCAAAGTGTTCCCTGCAGGCAAGGAACATTTATTTAAATGCTTTTGATCACATGATGAAGAGCTAAGGGACATCCTTCTTCAGTCAGCCAGTTGGGAATGCTTTTCAGGACCTTTGGCACAGAGATAAAAAGACAGTACATAAGCAAATCAGGGGAGAAACTGATACATAAAATGTGCTTACACTGGACATCTCAGAATGATATGCCCAAGTCCCACATAGCAGCTCACTTCCTTCAAGCTGTGGTCATTGCTGTCACATTTGAGCAACAGGAACAAATGTGGAGTTGCTGTAGTATCAGACTGTGCTTCTCTAAGCAAACATTCTGCCTGATGAAGGAGTTTGGGCAGACAGTGGTTTTGAGCTCTTGTTTAGTTAAGAGAGCCTTTGTTCAAAGCAAAGCATTTGTGGAAGTCTGATATGTGAACCGGCAAGAGGAAAGATGCTGGCATGTTTGGGCCTCTCACCATCCCCACCATCCCTTGTTAGCCCCTTGGACCCTGAGGTGTCTCCTGGAAACCCCATATTGGAAAACCACTAGAATGATGTCAAAAGCTGAACATTGTAAGCAGACATGTGGATGCTAATCTAGGGTTATACTTTCTAGCTAAAATGGACTTCAGGGAGCACCTGGGTGGCTCAGTCGGTTAAGCGACTGCCTTGGGCTCAGGCCATGATCCTGGAGTCCTGGGACTGAGCCCCACATCGGGCTCCCTGCTCAGCAGGGAGTCTGCTTCTCCTTCTGCCCCTCACCCCTCTCATGCTCTCTCTCATTCTCTCTCAAATAAATAAATAAAATATTTTAAAAAAATAAAATGGACTTCAGTTTCCTCACTTATGAAAATGAGGTCAGTGATATCTGCTCTGGAAGGTGGTTGTGAATATTAATGAAGACATGGTTGAAGTGCCCAGCACAATGCCAAACACAAAATGGCCCTCAATAAATGCGAGCTCCCTGTTCATATAAATAACTGTCATTGCACTCCTGGTGAAGCTGGAGGTTCAAGATCATGATCCCTAAGGCTACGTCAGGGCAAGGCCTGAAATGGAATGACATTAATGCTTTGACTACCTCCAGAATCCACATGGGAAGCTGGGGATGAAGACAGGACCTCTTGGTGTCAGGATGGACCTGGAACTTTCCTACCAGCTGCAAACGAGCAGCTCCTGACACGGCTCTACACACTAAGGCCAAGTGCCATGGACTGCCTCTACACAGAGATTGTCAAATTTGCTGTGTAGAAGAGCTACCTAAGTAAGTTAAGGACAGAAAATTAATTCATTTTGCCAGCAAGCAATTATAGTAAGCCCCAGAGGCTACGCCAAACGATGGTAGGTGTTTGGTGGGTGTGGTACAGGCCCATGAAGAAACCTCTCTATAGTGCCATAAAAAGAATGTATTGAAAGAGGGCTTAAGCAAATCCAGAAAGCTAAGGCAATTATAGACCAACTAGTCTATGCACCAGTCATGAGGACTTCACTTCTTCAAAGTCACACACACAGCTTGATTATGACTTGAAAATATTCTTCTAGAAAATGGCATCCAGTTGTACTCTTCTTAACCAACTATGGATCTCAAGTCTCTTTTGTCTTCCTTCTTTCCAAGCTACACACTGTTCAGGTTGTTGCTACATCATGTTTACATAATGTATTGATCAAATCAAGAGCAGAGTGGAGGAAGTTCAGACTGATTTTGTGCAAATTTTATTTTGTGCAAAGCCCTGGTGATGTATTAAGGAGGAGGCAAATAGTCGTATGGCCTAAGGTGACTGATGAATATGCCCATCATTCTAAGGAGAAATGTCTTTGGGATATGACAAAGAAAGAAAATGACAACAGTATAGGGAAACCTTCGCTTAAAAAATTTCTACTAAACTTTCATCCATTGTACAATCTCTTCTCTTCCGTGGCGCCTCCTCCCTATGATCAGCGCACATCCAGTTCTCAGTCTTCGCCTGAAGTCCGAAGTTTTAGGTGCCCCCTCAAGATTGGTATGTAAGTAGAGGGCCATCAACATACCTAGGAAAAGTATTTTTGAAGTATAATAACGGAAGCAGTACGGGCTGCTTCACAAATTAAATTTCTAAATATGATCTCTTCTATTAACGATTCTAATTAACGGCAACTGCCTTTTCATGCCTGGTCCCACAACTCCCCCTCTTGGCTCTTTCCTTCCCCGGCACTGCCCCTCACACAGAGGATCCACACAAACAGCCTTGGGCTTTGCAACACTCAACTTCTGAGTCTCAGCTTCCTCATCTGCAAAGTGAGCAAATGCGTGAGAAGGTTCTAAAATACCTTTCAGCTCTAACATTGTATCTAAAATGTAAGATTTTATCTAAGGGTAAAATTAAAATCTAAAGCAATTAGTTGGTCGGAAATTCTTAATGCTGAAGATTTTGAAGGGCCACGCTGATATGTGTTGGATCAATGAATGTTGTCTTAGTACCCAGGAAAGTATACACAGCAAATACACAACAAACAAAAACTAAGCTTGGTGATTTGAACTCTCCTACTTCTCTGTGGACTGGTCCTGAATAAATAACACGGGGAAAGCAAGTTGTCTATGAACTAGGTGCATTTGTTTTTCAAATATATCTGGTCTAGGGTCCCTGAATGTGGATAAGTTTATTTCTCCAACGTTGCCTTATTGTGTTCTGTTCAGCTTTACTGGTGCCTAGACTATGCCTAGCTGGGCTGAAGGAAATGACAGTAAAACAGTAACATTTTTTTAATGGGAAACTCATTTGGTTATCACACATTTGCTATTACTCTTCAGAGGGGTAGAACCTGTGCGTTCCATCAGCTTTCCTAGTTAATATATTTCTCTGCTGCGGAGAGAAGGAAATGGAGCTCCTTGACTATTCCCCCCTGATTTCCGTTATCAAGACTACAAGCCTTGAGTGTAAGGTCACTGACAGCTGTTATTTATTAAACCTGGCCCTGGATGTGAATCGCCTGGGTTGTCAGGGTAAGTCTGAGTCATTTTCTGAACAGTGACAAGGATCCCCTAACATGGCCAGCTTTAGGAACTTTCAAGCAGACGAAGCCAGTTCACATTAGTCAGTCCTGCTTGCCCATAAGGGACCCTCACGTTGCAAAGAAATACAACTTCACGTGAAGTCATTTAGCAGGTCTACCTGCTGGGAGCCCCAGACACGGTTTTTCCTGCTCTTGCCCCAGCGCTGGGGCTGGTTTTACTAATCTCCCTCGCTATCACTTCTGCCACCACTAGGAGGCGCTGGATGAATGAGCCTAAAGGTTCATCGGCATTCTCACCCCATACCGTGTCCTAGTGACCCTGCGCAGAGCTTCTGTGGGCAGTAAACTTGACAAAGCCACTATGTTTCCCACTTGAAGATTCACAAAAGACATTAGCTTATTAATGACCCTAAGAAATTTAAAAGTGAAAAGAGAAGGGGGATAAGTTTGGAGGGAAGAGGGAGAAAGAGAAACAAGGGAGAGAGAAAGCTGTTACGTTTACGTCACCCTGCATTTCGGGGGAGGGGAAAAAGCTTATTTAGCCACCAACCTCTTCTTAGTATAAAACCTATTAAGTCCTGCTGAATTAGAGTTCTGCAAATGTTCCCACTTGGGAAATACAGGACCAGCTGATCACTTGAAATCATCCTAATTCTGACAATGCTATTTACAGATCTTTGAACGCACAGTTCTGATGAGCCCCTTCCCTCACCCGGAAATCCTCCCCGGCCTCCCCCTGCCTATAGAGTCCAAATTCCTTAGCATGGCCTTTGAGACCTACCAGAATTTGGCCTTATCTTTCCAGTCTTGGTTCCCTGCCTTCCTGTCCATGAGTGTCTGCTGCCTCCTAAGTGGGTCTCCCGGGCTCTCTCTTCTCCTGTCTGTTGCTTCCCCACCTCTGTGCCTCTGCTCGTGCTGCTCCGTCCGGTCGGGATGCCTGTCATAGTCTTTGCACGTACAAATGCCATTCACTTTAAATAAATGAAACAATGACCTGAAACAAATAGATCTCTAGTCTCTCAAAAACAGAGACTAGAGATCTATTTGAACTTTAATAGGGGAAAAATGATTAATCCAAAGGAAAGATCTCTTAACATTAAGGCCTAAGGAATCAGCAAGGGACTAAGAGAAAGATACTTTTTAAATGAGGAAATTGTCCTGAGCTCTCAAAACCATCCACATATATGACTGCTTGGCTACTTTATAAGGTATACCTGATCTTAAGTACATATTTTCACAACTCATCTCTGCAGAAAATGCTTACCTTAAAAACCTAACAAACAAAAAAATCTTAATTCTCTAATGCAGCGGTTACCGAACGTGCTCTCCAGATGCAGCAGCGTCACCTGAGACCTCCTTAGAAACACAGATTCTCAGTCACCGTACTAAGCCCTCTGCTTCAGAGACTCTGAGGATGGGGCCAGGAACCTGTGTTTTAACAAGGCCTCTGGTTGATTCTGATGCCCAACCAAGTTTGTGCATAATTATATTCATAGTAAATATGTTATCACCTGTGTCCATAATCTCAAAGATACAGAAATGTGCATTTCACTTTTCACTCCAGTCTGTTACCATTACTGGACAACCCACTCCAAAATGGAGTGATGGCAAATCTCTTTGGTCTCTGGCCTTTGACTTCCACCAGGTCGCTGCACGGGCATCCACGTAGTCATTAAAACCCGCCCATCTCTTACAGCGGATCAAGCAGATCCCTGCAAATTCCTGGCCTGTGGCGAATTTGCCGAATGTGTGAAAAATGAGCGGACCAAGGAAGCAGAGTGTCACTGCTGACCAGGGCGCGTGAGCCGGGGGCGTGGGCACCACCGGGACCCGGGCCTCTGTGCCCCCACAGAGGAATGTGAGGTCATCCAGGGAAAGGGAGCTCCGTGCAGGTAGGTCGAGCACAGTCACTTTATAGACCCAGGAATTTGTTATTCTTGCTTTTGAGAAACCTATCGTTAGAATGAATGCATACGTTCCTCTAAATCCACGGGTTCTCGATCTCCAATGCACATCAAAATCTCCCAGAGGAGGACTTCTTTTAACACATGGCCGGGCCCTGTTGTGCTCTTTTTTGATGCAGCAGGTCTGGGTAGGGCCCAGGTAAGGCTGCTGCTGGCGGTCCAAGGACCACACTTTGAGACCACTGCTCTGGCCTTTCAGCAGTATTTCAGTAAGACCAACAAGGGAAGGAAAAAGAGCCTGTTGTCAGCTTCAAGACCAATACTACATGGTCTCCTACCTTAATTGGTGTTGAGGGGTGTGTGTGTGTAATATTTGTTTTTTCCCTCTTTGTGAATATAGCTTTCATCATGAGAAATTTGGAAAATACAGAGAATTATGAGAAAGAAAAATCATGTGATATTCATCATATTAACTGTTCTTATCTTGTGATGCACATGTTATTACAGAATGTTTACATAGAATGTCCTAAAGCAAAATGGAATCAGACCGGCTTCTTTTATACACAGCTTTTTTACATAGAACATTCCCCCATGTCATTAAATATTTTCTGTACCATCATTTTTAATGATTACATAGTAGTCTAGTCTATAGACATGGTATGTTTAATCAGTCCTTTATTTCCAACAGAAAGGTTAAGAGAAGCTCTTAAGAAGAGGGAAAAGGAGGCAAGATATAACTGGCCTTCTATTCACAAACCAGACTTCAGGGTGTAGGTGGCATTATGAACGATCAGGGAACACAGAGGCCCCTAACGCTTCTCCAAGTCCTGTGACACCTAGATCAAGTCCACACATGCACTCTGCCCGCCCGTGGAGGGCTTCTTCCTGAGCCTGACTCGCGTTTCCCAGTCAAGAGTCTCCAATCACACACACCTGAACATCTCCCCAGTGGTGATCACCTGAGACCCATATCTTGAGTAGATCTTCCTGTGTTTGTTTTTACTGTCCTCTTAATCATTCTAGTGGCCACAGTCTCTAATTTCCCTCTAATTTCCCCAGTCTCTAATAATCCCTCTAACCAGGGAGCTCATGGCCATCTGCTTACTCCATCAACAAGAAGCTAGAGAGATTTAGCCTTTCTCTTCATGAAACATACCCTGTTCTTTCAAAGTATTCACACTTTAAAGACAATGACTTAACCCAATTATGGTTAAGAAGCAATATTCTGGAGTCAAATTGTGATGGAAATTTTGGTTCGGGGCACCTGGGTGGCTCAGTCGGTTAAGTGTCTCAGGTCACGATCTTGGGGTCCTGCGATCGAGCCCCGCTTTGGGCTCCCTGCTCAGCGGGAAGTCTGCTTCTCCCTCTGCCTGCCACTCCCCCTGCTTGTGCTCTATCAAATAAATAAATAAGTAAACCTTCTAAAAAATTTTTTTGGCTTAGCAATTTACTAATCAAGTGACCTTGGACCAATTAACGTCTCAAAATCTCAATTCCCTCATTGGATAATGAAACTAATAAAACCCACCTATTAGGTTACTGCAAGGAGTAAATGAAATTGTTTATAAAGCATCTTTACAAAGAACATAAAACACAAGAATATCCATTCAAGTGAGTGAGGATTATGATAATGCTGTCAACTTTCTCCAAGTTAATCTCAATCCCAACAGGATTTTATATGGAATTTGACATTCTGGTTCTAAATTTCTTCTGGAAATGAAAATGTACAACAGAAAATCTTGAAGTACAATGATGGAGAGGTTGGTCTGAAGGACAGTAATACATAAAATAATATTTAGAACACTAAGATGGACAATAAATATACAGAACAAATATATATAAGCCCCAAATAGACCCTTATATTTAGACTATTTTAACAAGCATTTCAAATCAGTAGCAGAAGTATGGACTGGTCAGTAATGTTTAGAATACAACTGGCCTTCCATTTAGGAAAGAAATAAAATTAGTTTTTTACTATACACCAATCCATTCTATATCAAAGATTGAAACCTAAAATCAAAACTTTGAAAGTATGAGGAAAACTATTTTTAAAACCATTTGTATAATCCTGGGCTAAAAAAGCCTTCCATAATTAAGACACCAATTTCACATGACATTAAAAGGAGAATTTCCACAGGGGGAAAAGTCACCATAAATAAAATTAACATATTAACAAGGTGGGAGAAAAATATTTGTAACCTATCTTAATATCGTAAAGGTTGAACATCCATAATCATCGGAGCTCCTACACATCAATAAAAGACAAGCATGCTAATATTAAAATGGGCAAAGAATACACAAGGGCAATTCATAGAAGAAATCCAGATGACCAAGAAAACATAGGCAAAGATGCACTCAGTCTCACTATAATTAGGGAAATCCAAAAACAATAAAGAGGTATCATTTGTTACTCATGAGTTCAGTAAAAAATGTTAATACTATCCAATGTGAGTAATGTCAGGGAAAACTAGTCCTATCAAGCATTGCTGGTGGATGTGTAAATTGGAAAAAACCTTTCTCCAAGAAATATTTGTTGGTATTGATAAAATTTTAAATTTGATTCATATACTCTACTTTTAGACAACTATTCCTACACAAATAGTTGCATTTGTGCACTAAGATATGTTTATAAAAACGTTCCCAGCATCACGGCTTTGAATCGTGAAACAACTGCACAGCGCCTCTGTGGACAAATAGTTAAGTGTGGTGTATCAGTCACTACGGAACACAACAGTTAAAAGCAATAATATAGTCTACCAGAGCTGCCATAGAAATAAGACATTTTATTAAATGAGAAAAGTAAGTTGCAGAATAATAGATCCTGTTTGGGTAATAATTTAATAATAAAACTATGTATACTTAGAAGTATACTAGTTTCAACTATATGGCATTACCATTTTATCAGTAACAAATCATCAAACATTGGCAACTTTGTATGGTTCGCTCAAATATGTAGGAAAAGCATAGCAAATACGTGGAATGACAGACACACTCAGCTACTATCCCGGTTAACTATGGAAAGGAGTAGAATTGCTCAGTGTTAAATGTTAAACCTTGATCTCAGCATGAGGACAAACCCCACGGCCCCCACAAGCCGCCTCAGAACTGAAGCACAGGGGTGCTGAGGGTCCGCCCTGGATCCCTGATCCCACTACTGTTCCTCCCAGATGCCATCATGTATGTGACTCTGACAGTTTATTTATGTGAGGATCAGGTGACCGTTTAAGACCTTATCAACCATAACTGAAGACGGTGATTAAACCGGAGGCTTTAGAGTGAGACCTGAGTTAAAGCTCTATCCCAGCTTGTTGTGACCTGAAGCAACTTTGAGCCCCACATTTCTCGTCCATATAATGGGGATGACAGGAATACATTCATGGGTTTGGGTGAGGAGTAAAGCAGATGCTCTTCAGGGTAAACCGCTCTGCTGCAGGCATTATTGGAGCCATTTGGTAATTATCCACCAAGGGCAGCCCCGTTAAGGAGAAACCTGAGTCCCTACCTGGCGTTTAAACCTAAACTCAGAAGCAAATCAGCCCACGGCACTAAAGTGCTGTTAACACTGAAAGCAGCACTCTCTAAAGCATCATAAACTCGGCTGCATTTTTTGTTAGTCTACCTGAAAGTGAAGAAAAGAGATAGGAAAATTATATTGAGGGCAGGTCCCTTACTGAGATGAGTCCATGGATACACAACGAACATTTTCAGTTTGTTTTCTTGGTCATTCTACGGCCATCATTCTATTTTCACCTTCGTTTTTCCTTCTTTTCCTCAATTCAGTACTTAACAATATACTCCATACATTTTTCGTTTTCTTAAATTTTAATTGTCCTAAACACATATTCAGTTATATTAAGAACTTGGCAAAAATTCTCCCAAGAATAAACAAAATTTTCATTTTCAAAGGTCCCTTTTTTAGCTTAATGAGTTTGACTTTTATTAATTACAATTATCATTTTACATATGCAGAAAATGCAAATCTAGATCTAATAGAGTAAATTACTTATGACTTTTCCTCCTCAGATCTAAAAATTTTTACTTTGTCCTTTAATTTAATAGGCCTAATGTGTTCTCTGTGATGTTTTTAAATGATAATGAAAATTATTTCCAAATATAGGAGGCAGATTAAGGAAATGATGATGCAAAGTGACATCTATGAGGATATTTTAATAAGGAAGTACTTGTCTTAACTACAGTAAGATCACAGATTTACTCACTTGCTACACCTCAGACAAGGGAGGGATCCAATTTTTATCTCTAGTAGCTGTCCCTAATCCCTTATGAGCACTTTCTCCACTGAATGGGGAAGGGGTGGCGGGGAAGGGACCAAGACAGGGAGGGGTTAGAGTTTAATATAGTCCAATCCGATTTTAAAAACTTCATCTGATTAATAGTTGGAGCAATCAATTTAGGCAACTCAGTTCCCTTGGAGTATATAATCAGGCTCAAAAATCCTTTCCCTTTCCTTCCTTTCTCCAAGGTGGTGCATAAATGTTTGGGGAGTGGGGGCAGAGGCCTCTTCTTGCCTCACCAGGCCCTTTGGAAAGTTTCTATCCTCATATTTCCTTCACCTGTGATCTCTTAGTTCTGACCCCAGGCACCTACCCATCCCTTAGTACTCTGAGCCTCCAAGTCACCCAGCCCGGGTAAGTAGGAGCCAGAAATGCTGCCTTAGCTGGTGATGGAAGGAACAAGGAGCCTGTCCTCCAACCACACCTCCCAGATAGGCTCTTCTTCCTAGAGTGATACCCTCTCTCTGCCTTTCCCTGAAATTATAATGGACATAATGTTGGGAGAAAGAAAACCATTTACTGATAAGGGAACATATGTCAGAAAGTATTCTCCAAATATTATATCCATCTTATAATGTAAAGAGGGAAAAGGCAAGATGCAAAATGTGTATACACTATCATCAGAAATTATATAACATGTATATTAAAAAGTCTGGAATTATAGACATCAAATTTTAAAATTACTTTTATTTTTAAACTGTGTGAACAAATGTCATGGCACAGTTGTTTTTCAGCAACCACGACTCAGAACCTGACTTTAAAAATAACGCAAAAAAAATAATAACTCCACTTTTTGCAAGATGAAGTTATCACTCATCTTTCCCATGAGCTTTGTTCAATCCTTTTGACACCATTGCCTAAGAAACAGTATGCCAACTGGAAGGCAAAACTCAGGGGCGGTTGCAGAGAGCATAGTTCTTCTAGCTCTAGTGGAAAGCACCTGCAAAAATAGGCTATCCATTTTCATTTTCATATTAATTTTAAAGCTAAAATAGTAGAAAGCTGTAGTTGCTATTAATGTTGATAAGCCCAGGAAATAGGATACCATGTTTTTGCTTTCTTTTGTAGATCGCTGGGTCACTCTAAAAATCAAGCATTCAAAACCAGTGTTAAGAAGTTGCAACATCAGCAAAATAACAAGGTAAAATAATACTTTCATATGTTGGTTTTGATTATTGAATTTTAAAGAAAATTTAAAACATTTCTAGGTCTGACTCTTGTTTTTTTTTAAAGATTTTATTTATTTATTTGAGAGAGAGAGAATGAGAGATAGAGAACACGAGAAGAAGAGGGTCAGAGGGAGAAGCAGACTCCCCGCTGAGCAGGGAGCCCGATGCGGAACTCGATCCCAGGACTCCAGGATCATGACCTGAGCCGAAGGCAGTTGCTTAACCAACTGAGCCACCCAGGTGCCCCTGACTCTTGTTTTAAATAGAGATAAGTGAGAGCACTTTTCCTTTATTTGCCAAGCTTTTTAATTTAGTATTGTAAGGTGGGGGCACTGAATGCATTTCTTGGTGTGAGGAAGACAGAGACAGAAGGCTGGCATTAACTGAAACATATACATAAAACAATAAAAAACAAATGACCCAGGTAGTTTTATTCACTTTTTCTTATAAAAATATACATGCAATTTATCAAATGCATTGCAACAGGTTGCAATTTTCATAATTTATATTCCTGGAACTGAATAATTTTATGCATATTCTTATAAAATATCTTCAGTGATTTCAAATAATGAGCAAAAGCAAAGGTATGTAGAGAAACAGAGGAAACATAACTTGCGAATGAGTAACTTCAAAAATTCCTAAAAGTTCATCCTCAGATGAATGTTCCTTTCAGTGTCCTAGATATCCCTTTCAAATTATTCATCCAACTTATTTTACTAAAATAGTTATCTTACAAAGGGAAATAACTTATCTATATCCAGGTTAAATATAGAAATTTTTAAAAAATAACTTTTGAGAAAATACCTTGGACAGCTTTTAGTCTAAAATAAAAAATTTCAAAAAAATTAGACCATCTTTGATGGTAAAAGTGAGTGATAATCAGCCAGTGCCCACTCTACCTGAAATCTATAGAGTCGGGTGGAAACAAACACCTCGAAGCTTGCACTTGAAACAAGTTACTACCATCAATAGACAGTCAAGGATACCTCAGTATCCAAGCACACCAAAGGCTAATCATAATTTCCTATCTCCGGGTGCACACCGGGAAGAACGTGTGCCATTCTGATTTCCTGAAACAAAGCAAATCAGAAAGACAGAAAAAGTTCAGACTTGAACCACAAAATGACAACAAAACACCAGATCTGATATTAATAAAATGTCTGGGATGAAGCAAACACCAAGTAAATCCTAAAGTCCCAGGTAGAATTAAGGATCACATTTCATCTGAAACAGCAGAATGGAATAATCATTTCTGTTTGCCCTCTCTGCTTTAAGAGATGGTTCAGCCTGAGAATCTAAATGGGTCTAAGAAGAGATGGAATACATTCCGGCTACATTATAGAGTTAGGGATATTTTGGAGGGCATCTCCGAACCTTTCAAAGAAGATACCTAAAAGGCAAGCATATTCTTTCAAACACCAGCAGAAGTGACACTGGAATGCAATATGGATTTGACCTCAAGTGGCATTTCTTAAGTTCTTAAAACTATTTCTCTTCCAGATAATCAGGAAAAGAGATTCTGAATTACTGACTGGAGTATATGAAGAATTTAACTATCAAGATTGGGAAGGAAATTAAAAACTAAAAATGTACAGATTATAACTTAATCTGTTTTAAGAGAAATGGTCTGTTTTCTCAAGGAAAATTGTATCCACTGTTAAAAATCTGAAAACACAGGCAGGCATATTCACTGGTCATCAGAATCCAGGCATAGAGTCAACATTGAGAACCAAAACACACAATGTTTCAAATAGAGAAGCATCATGTGCTTGATGACTGGTACATTCTGCAGAAAAAGATGCTTATTATCAAAACCCAAAACACAATCATTGAAACATATTTCAGCTACTCCTGATAGTCTTCCAGCTACCCTTAAAATACTGCTCATAGATCATATACAAGTGCAACTTACTTATTGTTTAGGGGAGGTTGAACAATATATCATGAAGCAAAGCTCTTCATGTGTTACAATGTTCATAAAAGATGACTATTATGCAAGGAGAGGCAGGTCTCTCTGAATCATGGACGTATCCAGTATGTAAACACTGGTGGGGGTATATTTGTTCCACACTTCAATGTCTGTCACACACACACACACACACACACACACACACACACACACACACAAGACCTTCAGTCTTAAGCACACTAATTTTAGAAGAAATTAGTGCTTACACAGTAGATCGTATTGTTGCCAATAACTTCTGAATTGTTCCTTTAAAATAAAAAGGAAGTGGGGTTGGGTGCCTGGGTGGCTCAGTTGGTTAAGCGACTGCCTTCGGCTCAGGTCATGATCCTGGAGTCCCGGGATCGAGTCCCGCATCGGGCTTCCTGCTCAGCAGGGAGTCTGCTTCTCCCTCTGACCCTCTTCCCTCTCATGCTTTCTATCTCTCATTCTCTCTCTCTCTCAAATAAATAAATAAAATCTTAAAAAAAAAAGGAAGTGGGGTTCACATATACGTACCATGAGAAATCTCTTCTTATGACCACATAAAGCTATGTTAAAGGGGGAGAAAATGATGTTATGCTTTGTCACATAACCAATGCCTGTTTTCCACCACAGATGAACTATGTCTTCCTATAATTTAATAACTACATTGAATACTGCTGGACACTTAACTTTCCTGTATGCACGGGTAGATTGGCATCAAGGTAATCCATTTTAGTCAGTTTTTAATGTGGTACTTAATGAAAAATGATTTCTCTATTTCAAATGTTTCACTATTAATATATTTGCTGCAAAACCTTAATTTCAGTAAAATTAAGCACAATATTCATAGATTTATAATAAAATGGATCTGTTTTACCAGCTATTCCCTGGATTTGCTTTGTGGATTATGATAAATGATTTTAAGCATGATTTTCATGCTGCCAAAAGATAGCAAAATATTCAACATTGACAGCAACATTTGAGCAGTAAAACTTCAAGAATAAAAACAAATGTTTCCTAATAATAGACACAATCTTCCCCCACACACACACACACACCTGGTTACAAATCCTTAAAAATTCATTCCTGTTGGCCTCAGAAATGCATAGCATTCATCCCGATTCCCACCCCAATCCTCCCCTAAAGTGAGGAGCTGTGATATGGGATAAGGACGTCAAACTGCGCTATGTTGATCAAGTGCCACAAAGAACCATGGAAGATGTACCTACTCACTTCCATATCCCTGGAACCCAGAGGAAAACATGCTTGTTAGTAGCATGGCAGGCCGACCAAAATCACATGAAAACAATTCCACCAAGAGAGAAAATGAGGGGCGTCTTGGTGGCTCAGTCGGTTAAGCACCTGCCTTTGTCTCAGGTCATGATCTCAAGGTCCTGGGATCGAGCCCTGGAACAGGTTCCATGCTCAGCAGGGAGCCTGCTTGTCCCTCTCTCCGCCCTCACCCCGCTCCTGCTCTCTCTCTCAAATAAATAAATCATTTAAAAAATTAAAAAGATAAAAAAGAAAGGAAATGAAGATCTGACAATGATCACCTCCTCATAACGTGCCCTCCACCCTCCACATTTCAGTTGTGCTCTAACAAGAGCAGAGGATGTTGTTTTTGATGGGGAAGGAGAAGTAGGTAAACACTCCATCCTCTGTTAGAAAGGTGCCCCTCTGAAGCAAGGGCCTCTCACTCATTGGATCACCCACATTTTGGATTGGTCTTTTCCAACCAGCTAGAGAAGAGCTGTTGACCCACCTGCATCATGGTAGGTTCTAGATGAGGGGCATGAAGTAGCCTACAGAAACTATCTATATTCAAAGTCTCAGCAAGAAGGCCTCTTCTTTGGATCCCCAGTTTTTACATCCTGTGTCATCTTGTAAACAGACTGGTAAGGGCGCCTGGGGAAAGGTAGCCAAAGTTTGGGTTTTCTCTAATCTAGTCAATGTGAGTAGTCGCAGGTCACACACGGTCCTGCTTGTTCCCTGGATGGAAAACCCATAAGAATCTGGGGCCAAAACAAGGGTGTTCCAGTCACCTGAGTTCCCTTGCCTTTTCCCCCCAGCCACCCAACACAGGGTTTCCAGCTCTGGTGACTGGATGAAGCTCTGGACCCCAGACTTCTCCAACTTATTCCATCTGAGACATGGGGCAACAAGTGCAACGCTTACAACTGTTTTTTTTATAACACCCTGTAACTGTATTAAAAGCGCAAGATGCAAGAGGAAGTTCTACATAGACAGCATTTATTATTTCTATTTCCAGTACATCATTTTAGGAAAGAATCAGATACACATTTTTTTTAAGGAAATGAGGAAAAATTAAGTAACAGTTGCAATTAGATGGGTTTTCAAAAGTGAAAAGAAAATGGCCAATTAATAATCCTATTTGAGGTCTGAGGTTGAGATGATGCATAGATACAAATTAGTATTCAAGATTCTCTTTTTAATTGCACATTTTTTCCTGATTATCCTTTAAAAAATTTCTTGAAAAGTATGACAACTAAACTTACTTCATATATTAGGTGAGTGTTGGGGAAGGAAGAATACATTGACTTGAACTGAACTGAATTGTATTCAATGACCTGGTCCTGCCATGGGTAGACTCTACTTCTCAAAGTCTCTCCAACTTGATTCCTCTGTGAGGCTTTTGCACAGAACGTCTCCTTCTTGCTGGCCTTCTCCAGTGTGGCAGTGCCATTTCTACATGCTAAGAACTGGTACACCAGGTCTATCCTGATCCAAGTGTTAAAAACCATAGGTTCTGCTCCTATAGTACATACAATTCATTCTAAAACTCAGCTAAGATCTCGGAGTGCTTTGTCACCTAAAAAGTACCAGTGTTTTTTAACCTGGGGATGTAGAATCTTCAGAGGCAGACCCATTTCTTTCTCTTCCACCACTACTTTTCTCTTTATTTTTACAATTGATCCCCTCAACTTGTCCTTATTCTCATTTTTAGAGATCTTCTGTCCTCCCCTCCCTTGTTAGTTTACTTTTATTTCTTCTCAGAGAAATAAAAACCCTCAATACTTGTTATTTCTGGTAATGATACATACAGAAAACATGTCATGCCTTCTGAAGATGTGGAATGACGAAGGAGCAACTCTTTGTAAATCGACAGGGGGCTACTCAAAAAAATTTGCTTGTTTTGATTCTTTTTGTTCCACATGATTGAAGCAAAAGCATTTAAACCTCTTTCATGGTCTAGAACTAAATTATTTGACCCCTCTCAATCTTTTACCTCCTCTGTAAAAAAGGAGGTAGATCTACCACTAACATTGTATTAATTGACTGACTGATTCATTCAATAAATATTTATTCTACTTATCCAAGTACTTTTAAGGTACTTCACGTAAAGAAACCAAAGATCTAGCTAGTGGTGAGCTTGTCATATATGGCCTTTGTTATGTTGAGGTATGTTCCTTCTATAACTAATTTGT